AATCTATTCAGTGTGAAAGGATCTGATGATCCCTTATATGAGTTATCGCCCTTTAACGTCTTTGCGATTATTATTAATCCTTATAACTTTAAAACTAAAAGTCGTAGAAGCATGGGGTCGAGTGCAATGTGACCCTTGACCTTTGACCTTTAATATTTGTTCAAGGTCAAAGGTCAAGGTCATTTCAAAATTTTTTAAATTTTCATTTTTTCTATCTTTCAAGCCATTTATGGATTCTTTTTGTATAGAAATTAACTTTAGAGAGTAAAATATGAAAAATATTTGAAATTGAAAGAAGGTGGAAAGACCTCTAATTGTTCGAGAACAATTAGTCTACTAGTTGTTTGTATTTTACTTATAAAATACATTTCTTTTAGAAAACCATAAGAGTTAAAGCAACATTTTATATGAGTGATCAGAGGGTTTACGAACCTTAAAAATTTGTCAGAGTAAACAATAATACCTTGACCTTGTCCTAATGACCTTGGTGTATGTTGTTACATATGTTTTTGTCACAAGCTACCTTTGTGCCAATACAATCCTCTAATGTTTTCTCCACTTCAAGTTCTGGCCAAGGCAACAAAATCATATTTTTAAAACCTGTGACCTTGACCTGTCAAATTATTCCAGGAATTAAGAACAGGAAATACCCTCAAGTCACAAGCAGCCATTGTCTTAAGTATATGTATAAAGCTTCAAAAGTTTGTCCCTTTCAAAGTTGTGGCTAGAATCAGAATTTAATATTTTTCACCCTGTGTCCTTGACTTTGTCCAAAAATGACCTTGGTACAGTGTAAAGGGTCAAGATAGACCTCTGGTCACAAACAACCTTGTATTATGTATGAGCCCTCTCAAGTTTCTCAGTTTCAAAGATAAGCCCAGACAAGAATTTCACTCTTTTTATTCATGTCAAAGAAGTTATGTTCAAAGTCAATCCCTTAAACTTGTTTTTTTTTTTTCGGGGGGGGGGGGGGGGGGATAAAATTAACTTATGATATCTATGTTTGCTATATATCTGTGTGACTGTCATACTTATTAAATAATAAAAAAAATAATTCATCTGGTTCCCATGCTGAAAAAGCTGTAGTCTTTTTTTTTCAATTGTTGGACAGTGTTTTGGTAAGTCAAATGAGTTTCCCCAATATTTGACTTGCAGAGATCATAGAACAAAGAACATGAAAAGAAGCCAGCAATTTGCTGATTATAAAGAGGTTCTGCATTTCTTCTAGAAAATCCCAGAGAAAAACCAGTTGCAATATTAATTTGCAGACATTTAAATTTCTTGAGACCTTTCAGAGATACTAATAAGCCCTTATACCAGTATAATACCATGGACCTCCATTTTACTAATAAAAAAAAAATAATTAAAATTTGATTAAATTTCTCTTATTATTGTAAATTTTTACTAAGTAATCATGTGTACCCAATGGTAATCAATCTCTGGATAACTTTTAATCTTTTCTAACATCTTACGATGTTTTCTCAGGTTACTGTTCCCATTTCCATCAGGAAATTACAAAGGTGTATTAAATTTTTATCCCAGTAGACAGAAAAGAAATTCTTTGATATTTAGTAGTATTTGCTTAACCAGTTAAAGAACACTGAATTTATATTACATGAATTTATTTAATTAATCATGCATATGCTATTTATCTAATGACTGTTTTTTCAGGTTACAGTTAACACGTACATTTTACTGAGTGTACAGGTTAAACACAGGCCCTCCATCAGAAAAATTATTTCCTTATAGATGGGGAGAAATTTGGTATAAATTTACTAATTAATTAATGGATGCAGCTTTGCATATCAGGACCTCGTTTTACAAAAGGACTTACGACTAAGATAAAAAAAATATTTGTGATTGTGAAGTATTGCAAAGCTATGTCAGTCCTTTTGGGTCATTTTTCTTTGACCTGACAACATTATGACCAATGTCTTACAGTCAGGCAAACGTATTACATGTGACTGTCTAAGAAAGATCAACTAACACGTAAACAATTTCAAAATACTGAAACCGTACTTTTTTTCCACACTAACAGTCAGGTAGAAAATTGTGCAGATTTCTTAAGATTGCCACTATATGCCTTCAATGTACTCTAAGTAGGCTGGGACAAATTTCTCACAGCAAATTTGTGACTGCGTACATAGCATACATTAACACCATGTGGAAAAAAAGTACTTGTACAGTAATTAAGGTTCTGATCATGACCTACATGTACTTTTGGGTTGCAGCTCACATTCTTTCCAAGATTCATCAACTGATACGATTTGAGGATTGATTCCTCTCAATTCCTTTGCAGTATGCAAGATATACCTAACCCTAAAACAATTTGATCATGAATAGCAATATACCATATAGCAGGTTTCTTAAGTGGGTGTAAAATTTTGCATTTTGCTTGTACGTAAAAATAAATGTATGCCAGTTCTTTAAGTGGAACTTTTTTGGCGGACAAAGAGATCCATGACTTTTCAAAAGAGAGGAAATTAATCCATCTTTTCGATGAGTTTCGATCAGAATGTTTAGTATACGTTTAAATACCAATTTAAAGAAGAGTTTGACTAAATACCAATACCAGATGAAGGATACAGCATGTAATGAGAGACTGATCAAATTATTTATGATAGTTTCCTTGTATTCAGTACTAATAAGCAAGGGTGCAAATTTAGCAATTTTAAATTTTAACGATCTACTACAAAACCCGCTAAAATAAGCAAATTTAGCACCCCGCTAAAATTTTTCGCTTTACAGTAATTCCTACACTGGGTCAAAGTGACCCCTATATTATACCATATACTTTTTGGTAATGTACGTCATACAATACATCTTTCCCCCATTGCAATGTATATCAATTTGACTTGTCAATACATTGGATCAGAAAAAGGAGATAATTAACTGGTATTATATTGTGGAAATAAATGTAATATAAACCAGTGGACTGGAAAGAATTTGAAGTTAATAAAAGTTAAGGTCCCCTAAAAAAATGAGAATGGTTAAGAGTTGAAGAGATTAAGAGTCCAAGTTCATCGGTGAATGGTTTCTAAAATTATGCACTCTAAAAATTGCATTTTCTATGCTTCTTCAAAAGTTTCTCAGAGATTTATTGCTATAATAAGAAAAATGTTGCATTTACATGTAATTAGTTGATAGTGTTTCCTTATTTCAATTAATTTTCATTGCTCATTAAAATGAAAGTACAATTGGCTTCAGAGAGAATGACTGATAATAAATAACTTATTATTGGACAGTTTTTATTACATCTTTTCCATACATTACTTTATATACATATATCTAATATTTACTTATCAAATAAAAGTATATATTGCATGTTTTTGTAGAATTTAATTGTTTTGCTGATTTTTACTGCTTACAAAAGACCATGATACTTACATAAATGTGACAGGAAAATACATTGCAATTTAATACTGCTACAAAAAAATTATCATTACTTTGGGCCATTTCAATTAACAACACGTGGGATATATGTGTCTGCTTACTGGTACTCTAGCCCAAGATTTCCAGCCAACAGGATGAGCGTTCTAATCATGAACCATCTTATTTTTCATTGTAATTCACGAAATTCTCTTGGTTGAAACAACACCATGCACCTTTAACATTCAGTATATTTTGTTCCTGGTTGGTGCAATAAAATCATAGATTGATCTTATTACATGCTATAATTGTACTTTATTATCACCTGTACTTCCAACTACATTGTAACAGGAGCATATTTAACAAAACAAAATTTAAACCAGACATCTCTGATGAGACTGTAGCTCTACTGTTTTTTTACTTTTTCAAAATGGAGAGAGAAGGAGCACATATACCTGACTTTAAAAAAAACCCAACTTTTTATCTAGTTTTACAATGACAGAAATATATATTTTAGTAGCCATGGCAACATGGTTGTCAAAATCAAAATCCAATATGTATAGAAATATTTACATGTATGTATCTTAGTGAAGTATATACCTGTACATTTTAGAATTACACTGTGGGAGAACTAACATTTTACAAAAATTTTTATTTCCTAAGCACCATTGGCAATGTCATTCATTGAAACAAAAAAAGCAATAAGCAGAATTACATTATTACCTTAATGTCTAGTTGTTTTTTGTTTTGTTTTGTTTTATTTTTTTAAATTTCTATTTATTTTTTTTTATAGTAAGATTTCTTGAAATCAAGTCTAACTGTAGAAGGAGTAGCATTTTGAAAATTGATTCTAGATGGACAAACAGACAATGATGTACACTTTACTTTGCATAAAGCTCTTCTACACTTTGCCCAGTAGAGCTAAAAACAGTTCTTGTCAAAAACTGAGAGAACATTTTGGTAGTACATAAAGAAAAAAAAAACTTGACTGATCAAGCTTTGATTTCATTCATAATGAAATCTGATGCATCGATCAGTCATATATATGTAAATAATCTGTATCCACTGCCTATTTGGAAGATAGCTATTTTATCAAACTTAAGACCAGAACTTTTTCTCACAAGTTTGTTGCAGGATTTCTTAAAATTAATTTTCAACAAAACCAAATTCATTCTTAAACTAGATGTGTCTTAATATCATGAATGCCCCCACAAGCAGCCAAAATTTCAAATGACATATTTAGTTTTAAATTTGTATTCGAACTCGACCTGTATTTTCTGGTAAAATACCTGCATATGCAATTTCATAATTATATACATCCCTATAAAAGTTAGAGCGGAAACTGAAAATTTCTTATTTTTTCTAAGTTCAAGAGGGATAACTCTGTCAAAAATCATTGGACCATGATCAAATTTGAACTTGACCTATTCCTATGACATGTCAAATTTGAGTTGAATGTGTGCAACTGTTGCAGAGATAATGAACAGAAAGTGAATGATGATGGAATGACAGAGTAAAGGAATGACAGAACAATTAAGATAACACTATATGCCCTGGCCATTTTATGGCAGGGGCATAAAACATCATTTTCTGAACAGAGTTTTTCTATCAAAATGTTAATGTATGTTTACCTGTGATGCTTCTACTTCTAGATGTGCGTTCCTCCGGAAGTGTTGTGACTGTCTCCTGATCCTCAGGTATCATATCCCCTCCACCCTGTAAACAAATTTACAGCTGGTTAGATATCAGGGTGTAAGTTTGCAAATTTGCAGTTTTGTAGCATACACATATATAGTTGGTCTAAAATTTCAGACTGTATAAGCATCCATATTTCCAGTTGGTTAAATGTCAGATTGTTACCATACACATTTACAGCTGATTTAGTATCAAATTGCAAGCAATTACACATTTACAGCTGGTTAAATATCAGATTGTTACTGTACACATTTACAGCTGGTTAAATATCAGATTGTTACCACACACATTTACAGCTGGTTGAATATCAGATTGTTACCTGCATGCATACACATTTAAAGCTGGTTGAATATCAGATTTTTACCATACACATGCATTTACAGCTGCATTATTATCAATAAATAATGTACTTTCTATCATTAGTGGACATTACATCATACCCGTTAACTGGTCAAGATGGTGCTTGATGAAATAGTTATATCATTAAATGATGTTAATGTCTCCAAATTCTGCAACATTTCATTGGTGGATTTTGTATCATTTGTAGATTTTAGTCTCCATGCATTAATTGCCAATTGAATATGCAATACCATTGAATTGTGCAATGTTTTATACAAAATCTTTTATCTGAAGTTCTTAAAATTTAAAAGAAAAATGTATATATTAAATCAAGCTTTTAAAATTTTTTATTGACACTGATATTTTCATTTCTGTTTGTAATTAGTACATGTATATATCATGCAGGTGCATGCAGGAAATTGTTCATTTTTAAATAATAGACATTTCTCTTATAACGAACAAGGGATAATGCTGCTTACAATGGCTGGTTTTTTCAGGATGCTCCTGCTGGAAGGGGGCGGAGTTCCCCGGCTTTTCCCACCACCTCTCATCCTCCCTTGAATATTCTGCCCTTTGTTCATTCTCTCAATGGTGTCTGTTAGATGAAGTTTGTATGAAGTCATCCACCTGATCAAGGACAATTAACATTGTCATTAGTAGCTAGAAATAAATCTAATGAACCATACACATTCATCTAAATCAGACAAGTTCAAAGAAGAGTTGTTTGTTCAATATTTATTAAGTTTTGTTGAAAGAGATTTCCACAAATGGTAAAACTACATTGTATGATTTTCCACAGAGCTGCTTCAGTCAGAAATGAATGTTGATTTGAGCTGCTGTACCCGAATTTCAAGTTTTGAGAAAACAATCAAGGCACACAAGGTTCATTTATGTCAAAGAAAATTTGAAAAAAATAATTTTTTGTTTAATATTATAATGAATTAGTGAAAATTTGTCGTAATCATTGATTTAGTGAAAATGCCATTTTTTTTTTCAGGCTACTGTACCTGCATGAGTTTCATGTTTAAGAAAACAAGACACATACCATAAGGTTCATATTAAATGAAATTTGAGAAAAACAAACTCAATATAATGAATTAGTGATAATTTCTTGTTGACATTGACGTAGAGAAAATTTATCTAATAAATTTATAGTCTAAATTACAAATAGCTAAAAGGGGGTGATTAATATATTCCTTGGGTGTGAAAAACACTCAGAGGAATTTGGTTATTTGACAAGTTTAACATTTTAAAATCCAGTAATTCTTTAAACAAAGAAATTTCACTAAATATTCTTGTGCATGTCGATCTTTTCTTATGTTCTCTTTTCATCTCACGTGTCTTTAACAATTCTGTCTGGAACTTTGTTATTAAATGCAACTTTAGTAACTCTTCCCTGATTGAAGACTTTGCAATCTAAAGTTATTCTTGACTAAATACAATACTGTAAAGCATTAGAAATATTTTTTTTCTGAATCTTGCATAAGACATTTTTAATTTTATTCAAGTTTGTCTTTTAAAAAAAAATGATTTGAAACTATACATGTATATGTATGTTCTAAAGAAAAAGGAACATTTTTACGCAAAAGTCTTTGCAGCATAGTATTACCAGAGTTTTTTTTTTTTTTTTTGGCTTTTAAATTGATGCTAAAAATCTATAAAGTTCAGTACAATAAAAAAAAGTAATATTTATTGCACAAACACACACACACACACAAAAACTCCTTAAGGTTTCTGAGTAATATCTCTATCTTTTTCAGCCACAGTTAGGGATAGACATTAACTTTTAGATTCACTTGCCCAAAGGGCAAGTAATCTCAAACTTTGACTGCAAAACTTGGTTGCCCAAATTTAAGAAGAAGAAAATAACTTAAATCATTGCTGGAAATGTCTATATGATAAAAAAAATAAGTATGACCAGATACACTAATTGTCTATTTGGCAGGTTGAGCTACGTGAAAAAACAATTCAATGCTATGTTTGTACATGAAATTTATCCTGGAAGCACACACTGCCATCCAGCAAAAACCCAACCCCCTCTTGCTTTCTTTACTAATAAAATTCATACTTCTAAAAATTATTTTCAGGAAGATCCTTTTCTGAATTTTGATTTTCGAGAAAACTAAAGGTATACACTTGCCATGAAACGTACATGTCTTGATCAGGATACCTTGTGTTACTTATATTCTTTGAGTGAATAAGTATAATCTTAATATTTCCTAATCAATAGGCAACAGAGTGGTTAGACATAGAGCGTAATTACCATGAAAGAAAACAACGAACCCGACTTTTAAATGAAATTAATAATATAGAATGCTTTCGAGGATTCCGAATGCAAAAACAATTTCAGGCACACACCTGGTGGAAATCAATTTGTAAATTAATAGTAACTGTTTTATTTATAAACTAATGTACTCTACATTTCTATCAGAAAAATTCACTTGCCTGATCGGACAAGTATGTTGACAGTTTTACTTGCCTGAACTGTGATTTTACTTGCCCCAGGCAAGTCTCAAAATGTTACTCAGTACTGTTTTACAACTTTTACATGTACAGCAAAAAGCAAACAAACAATTGCCAACAACCAATTTTAATAGTTTTGTTGGGCCTGAAATTGAAACTTTTGAACAATTTGGCCAGATCCTTGAGCTACAGATCAGCTGTTAACTTGTACATGAAATTTTGAAAAATTTTAAATACCGGTATTCTTCTTTTGGTAACCAAGGCAACAGCTTTGTTTAAAATAAAAAAATTAATAGAATTATGTATTTTGGTTTTGTTTACTAGTACTTTAATTAGTTTTATTAAGATCAGACCAAAACTGTTGGAGGTAAGGCATTTTTATAGATTTCACAGAAATTTCAGGAACCATTGGCAACAGCTTTCAGTGATTCAGGAAAAAAAAAAGATACTCAGAATTATGCATCTTAGAATTATGTTTCTTCTTGTATCAATTTTTCCACCTATTGCTACTTACACACGTATCCAACCACAGCTCGTGCATCTTCCATTATTTAATCATCTACCTACCTATTCATTCATAGCTGACATCTTCCAATAAAATATCTTCAACCCATCTATCAAGCAACAGCTGACACATTTTCCATTTAATTAATCATTTATCTTCTGTCTAGCCATTCTTGACACATCTTCCAAGGACAAATTATGTACCATAGGTGAAACATCTTTGAGTAACAAAATTCTCCTACCTATCCAGCCATAGCTGACATGTTCCAGTAACAAATTCATCTACCTATCTAGCCATAGCTGACAGATTTTCCAGTAAAAAATTCTCCTATCCAGTCATTGCTGATAGATCTTCCAATACAAATTCAATTATCTATCCAAACATAGCTGTCAGATCTTCCAGTAACAAATTCACCTACTTATCCAGTCATACTCGACAGATCTTCCAGTAAAATTTCACCTACCTATCCAGCCATAGCTGACAGATCTTCCAGTACCAAAATCACCTACCTATCTAGCTGTTGCTGAAAGATCTTCCAGTAACAAATTCTCCTATCCAGACATAGCTGTCAGATCTTCCAGTAATAAATTCACCTACTTATCAAGCCATACCTGACATCTTCCAGTAACAAAATCACCTACCTATCCAGCCTTAGCTGACAGATCTTCCAGTAACAAATTCACCTACCTATCCAGCCATTGCTGAGACATCTTCCTCAGGTCACCTTTCCTGTCTTCTTCATCCACATTCCAGATATCCCAGGAATCCATCTCCTTAGAGAAAAACTTCTGTGGATCTTGATGTCCAATGGAAGACAAAAGATCCAGTACTGTCATCCTGTAAAAGTATAAGTAAATCCACTCTTACTGATATTTTACAATAACTTTAATATTCACTGTTTCTTTAGGAGACTTGTAGAAATTAGAACACAATTGAATCTACACTATATAAGGGTGTTTACTTAATGACTTGACAATTTGTTACCTTATGCTAATTCAAGAGAAGATTTTACATTTTTCTAGATGAAAAAAAAAAGTTAAATTTTTCAGTGGACTTGTAGATTGATAACTACTAGAAACAAATAGGATGATAATCAGGGCTTGAGCAGTTTCACTGTTTGAATCAGTGGAAAATGTAAACGATTTGTATTTCTGTTTACCTAACTTCTTTATCTCCATCCAGGAACTGTACCATTAACTCAGAGACAAACTCTTTGTCCTTGACTCCAAACTTGCTCATGGCCCTAAGAGCTGAGATTATAAAATTCTTCTGCTCTTCCACCAAACATGTTGGTGGTTCTTTGTGATGGTTTAACACTGCAATGAGGTTTTTGGAAACAGAGTGAATGGTCCCATCTCCTATGTCTTCTTGGGTGTATAGCATGGCCATTGCATCTGTGACTGCAATTTTGTGCATGTACTCGGCAATACGCAGAAGTCGACTCAAAGTCATCATGAAGTTATCAGCTGTCCAGGGCTTGGGAATATTCTAAAATATAAGTAATACAGATACATGAAATTTAGGCATAAATTAACAAAGAATTATGGTTAATTGCTTTTATTCTTTTATAAACATAAATTTTAACACACTGCTGGAAAATTAAAGCAATTGTCTCCTTATAATTTATTTGTAAAGGTTGACCTCACTCATAGAGTGATGGAATGTTGTGCCATACAAATTCATCAGATATATACAGTTGACATTATGCATCTTATCAACTGATACATCAACCACCAAAGGACATTTTGAAATGATTCATTGTTCTTGACCATGGTATAAGTTTTTAAGTCACAACTGTGATATCTTCAACCCCCAAACATCTGGGTTTTTCTTATACTCACAGTATAATCAGATTCCTTCAAATTCAAGATATAGTATACCAAGGTTTGACTGTATGTTTATAACAAAGATAAAACTTGATGTTATATGTCATGCTCTTAACTGATGGCTAAATCTAAGTAAAGAATAATTGCTTACTTTAAAAAAGTCATTTGCTTCCAATGTATAAATTTATTAAAACTGCAAATTAAATATTCTTTAAAACATGCAACATTCATTTATCAATAATATCTTGTTTTTTTGGAACAAGTAGACAAATATTTTGATGATCTTAATAATGTTAAAATAAGCTAAACATTTAGTACCTATAGCATTAGCCATCTGGTGATTTTTTTCAAATTCTAGCCAATATCATATGCCCCTGATTATGTTTTTATATATTATAACTAATTATCATTCTGTTCTTAATAATATAATTAAACCATTTGACATATGTACATGTATTCAACAAATCAAACTCACAGGGAGATCAAAAAAATGATTGTTTCAATATATATGTAGCTCATTATAGCCAGTTAATAATGATATAGTATACATTATATGTATAAAGTACAATGTTGGGGAAAAGGACTTCATTTAATCATTGATAAGCACAAATGTTTTTTGGATGAATTCATGGAAACATACATTCCCTGAGTCCACACAGTAGAAAAGTCAACAAAAGGTCCATGGGCCACATTTCTGCTTACATGATAACACTTTAGAATAGTCCCCAAATTAAATTTCATAATTATATCAATTTTCAATTACATTTATTTTATACTGAGGTTTTATGTCAACTTAACATATTGTGGTCCTTTTGTTTTGTGAATATCTGTACATATATTTCTGCACTATTACATTTCCCCCCAATTTTGGTTCATATCTAGTGCCTAAAGTCTTAATTGACAACAAACATTATTCTAAGTTAGGAGTATGTTAATGCATATTAATGACTTGGTCCTTCTACATTTCATGTTGATGATTGCTAATTAATATGACTCAGAGTCTACTTTCTTCAGAAGATAATTTTTAACAAAATTTCAGTGTTAAACTTGTACACCCTAGCTATCATATGGCTCCGTTTTTGCACCTGGGGTAATGATTGAACAAATTTACAATTTTTTTATTGATTTGACTAATAATGCCCCCTGCTATAACAGCTTTTGCAACTACACTATTCTCATGTGAGCTTTATTGATAATCGATCTCCTCCTGTGCCCTCACCCTATCCCGAGGGGTCATGGTTTGAAACCTGAATATACACAATATGAAGACCCTTGAATTAATATGACTATACATGTATATAGTTTGGGCCCCCTTATTCTTGAAAGATTTTTCCTTTGAATATAATAGTATATTTTTTAAAAACTTTAATCATTTATTGTAACCTCCATCCTATCCCTCAGGGAATAAACAACAGGCTCATGGGCCACATCACTCACCTGAGAGAAGCAGAAATCAGCAGGGCTCTTGATTGTCAATAATTGGGACATTCAAAGGCCCATTCCCAATTCAAAAAAGGTACACTTTTTCCCAACTGAATGTGTTGATTTTCCCAAAAGTCATCTTTTCCCAAAATTAAAGAATGTATTGGACATATAATTACTAAATTTGCTGCACATATTCCTCTGTATTGCTAAATAGAAATACATGTATGGTGCAAAAGAAACACCAGAAACCCAATATACAGTTGAACTTCGGTATCTCGAACACTGATATCTTGAATACCATGGATATGTCAAAATGATTTGGAGATCCCAACCACTTATTCTTTATGTATTTTACCCTCGATATCTCAAATCTTTGGAAATCTCAAAGTTTTTTCTTAGTCCCATCATGTTTGAGATAACGAGGTTTGACTGTATAAGAATTATGTCTCCCCTTCCAGGGGAGACATATTGTTTTTGTCGATTTTCTTCTTCTTCTTCCAAATTTTGTCCAGGCCGTAACTTTAATACCCTTTGACATTAAGACTTCAAACTTGGAACATAGATAGATGACATTGAGAAGGAGTGCACGCCACCAACATTTTTGACCTTGACCTATTTATAAGGTCAAGGTCAATCTTTTACATCAAAATAGAGTTCAGCCCATAACTTGAGATCCCTTTGATATTAGGACTTCAAACTTGTAACATAGGAAGAAGACCTTGAGACAAAATACACTGCATTAGAATTTTGACCTTGACCCCTTTCTGCCTTCAAGGTCAAATAGGGAAAAAACACGATCTGACCATAACTTGAGAACCTTTTGACATTAAGACTTCAAACTTGGAACATGCAGAGGTGGTATAAAGGAGGGATGCATGCCACCAAAATTTTTGACCTTGATTCAATTATTATAAGGTCAAGGTCAATCTTTTACATCAAAATAGAGTCCAAGCCATAGCTTGAGTACCCTTTGATATTAGGACTTCAAACTTGTAACAAAGAAAGAAGACATTGATACAAGATGCAACACACCAAAATTTTTGACGACCTCTTTTCTTCCTCAAGGTCAAATAGGGGAAAAACTTGATTAGACCATTACTGAAGAATCCTTTGTTATAAAGACTTCAGGCATGGAACATGCAGAAGTGATATGAAGGAGGGATGCATGCCACCAAAATTTTTGACCTTGATTCAATTATTATAAAGTCAAGGTCAATCTTTTACATCAAAATAGAGTCCAAGCCATAGCTTGAGTACCCTTTGATATTAGGACTTCAAACTTGTAACAGAGAAAGAAGACATTGATACAAGATGCAACACACCAAATTTTTTGACCTTGACCTCTTTTCTTCCTCAAGGTCAAATAGGGAAAAAATTTGATTAGACCATTACTTAAGAATCCTTTGTTATAAAGACTTCAGGCATGGAACATGCAGAAGTGGTATGAAGGAGGGATGCATGCCACCAAAATTTTTGACCTTGATTCAATTATTATAAGGTCAAGGTCAATCTTTTACATCAAAATAGAGTCCAAGCCATAGCTTGAGTACCCTTTGATATTAGGACTTCAAACTTGTAACATAGAAAGAAGACATTGTTACAAGATGCAACGCTTCAAAATTTTGACCTTGACCCCTTTGTTAAAGGTCAAATAGAGAAAACATGAATAGACCATTACTTGAGAACCCTGACATTAAGACTTCAAACTTGGAACATGGAGAGGTGGTATAGAGGAAGGGTGAATGGCAACATTTTTTTCACCTTGACCTATTAATAAAGTCAAGGTCAATCGTTTACATGAAAATATAGTCTAGGTCATAACTTGAGAACTTTTGAACATTAGGATTTCAAACTTGGAACAAGGAAAGACAACAATGAGACTAAATGCACTGCATCAAAATATTTGACCTTGACCACTTTCTTCAAGGTCAAATTAAGAAAAACATGACCAGACCATTACTTGAGATCCGTTTGACATGAAGACTTGAAATTTTGTACACAGAATTTGAGTTGAGATGCACTGCATTATTATTTTTGACCCTGATCATATATTTGCACTCATTAATGTTGGTAAAGAAGGGGAGACATGTGTTTTTTTGTAAAAAAACAATACCCACTAGTTTTAATGCAAATTTATTCTCTAAATTCCTCAAATTTTTGCTGATTTTCCCACGTTTTACAGCCCTAGCCCAGTCCAAAAAAAGTAACGTAAGAGCCCTGGTTAGGTATTGAAAGTTTAAATAATTATATAAGTGGTCCAACCCTACCTCTGGGGGTCATGATTTGAACAAATCTGCTTACAAATTAATATGACTTATCTTGGCTTTACTGTTCTTGAGAAGATTTTTTCCTATATATTCCCATGTGAAACTTTGATAGCCTAATGCGGCCCCTGTTGGTCATGATTTGAACAAAATTGAACCTAAACTAACTGAGGATGTTTCAGTATTAATATGACTAATCTTGGCTTTGCTGTTTTTGAGATGATTTTCATAGACAATTCCAATATATTCCTATACATAACTTTGATCCCCTGCTGTGGCCCCACCATACCCCCAGGGGTCATGATTTGAACAAAGTAACTGAGGATGTTTCAGTATTAATATGACTATTCTAGGCTTTGCGGTTTTTGAGATGATTTTTATAGACATTTCCAATATATTCCTATACATAACTTTGATCCCCTGCTGTGGCCCCACCCTATCCCCAGGGGTCAAGATTTGAACGAAGTAACTGAGGAATTATTTCAGCATCAATATGACTAATCTTGGCTTTGCTGTTCTGGAGAAGGTGATTTTTACGGACATTTTCTCTATATCTCTTTGTATACTTTTGATACCCTATTGTGATCCGACCTAACCCCTGGGGTCATGATCTGAACAAACTTGAATCTACATTATGTGAGGATGCTTTTTTATTAACAAGACAAATCATGGCTTTGCTGGTTATCAGAAAATGATTTTTTTTAAAGATATTTTCTAAATAACTATGCATATAACTTTGATCCCTTTTTCTGGCCCCACCCTTAACCTCAAGGGGTCATGATTTTGACAATTTGAATCTACACTACCTGAGAAAACTTCTATATTAATATGATTTATCATGACTTTGCTGTTCTTGAGAAGATTCTTAAAAATAATTCCTATGTGTTCCTGTACATAGAACTTTGATCCCCTGTATTGACCCCACTGTAACCCTGGGGATCATGATTTGAATAAAACTTGAATTTACACTATG